CTCGGCACTTTAGTCGCCTCTTACAACACGCATGGCATACGGAGGAAGAATTCTGTTCCACTTTCCCTTGGAGATAAGAGGAAATAAACAAGAACAAGAACTAGAAAGAATGTAGTGAAAAACACAGAGAGGTGTGTATATATATATGCTTGTACATGTATGTGTAGTGTGACCTAAGTGTAAGTAGAAGTAGTAAGACGTACCTGAAATCTTGCATGTTTATGAGACAGAAAAAAGGACACCAGCAGTCCTACCATCATGTAAAACAATTACAGGCTTTCGTTTTACACTCACTTGGCAGGATGGTAGTACCTCCCTGGGTGGTTGCTGTCTACCAACCTACTACCTACTTATGCAGAAATATTAAACAGTAATATACAACACCTTCTTAATTTAGACCAGCTGGTGTCTGCTCTAATATATGTCTTATCAGTATTTTTCTTGTATTTCGTAATTTACATTATTCTCTCTTTTTTAATACATTTCACAAACCTTTTTTTTTTTTTTGACAAGTTCTAAGTTTATCATCCCATACAACACATTGTTGTCATAAAGTGGGATTCAACAACAAATTTTTCCCTCATTAACCCTTTGGGGGACGACAGGTCCTCTCAGAGACTTGTTCTCAGGGTCGGCCAAATTTTAAAAAAAAAAAAAAAAAATTCTTATGAAAAGATAGAGAATCTTTTCCCGATCATAATGACAACAAAAGTATGAAATTTGATGGAAAACTTATGGAATTATGCTCTCACGAAGTTAGTGGTCGCAATGATGTTTAAGCATCGGCGATTTTGCCCATTTTGAGCCCTATTTTTGGCCAATTCCAGTATACTAGTCGACAAAAATCATAACTATTTCGCTAAAACTCCATTTTTTTCTATCGAATGAGTACAAGAAACCAGCCATTTACCGATTTCAACTATCCAATAAAGTGGTCAGAATTTAGCAATTTTGCCAATTTCACACAAATTTCAAAAGATGCCAATTTCTGAATAGGGTCCAGAATAAACAAGAAAGATATTCCTGGCACTAAAATAACAAGTTCTCTGTTCGTTAGTCACATCCCCAGGCCCCTCTTATACTTCTTTGGCTTTCCACTTCGAATTTTTATTCTTACAAAAAAAAAATAAGATTTACTGTTATGCAGACTACTGCATTAGTGTAGAAATGATATAAATAATATCAGCGCACTTGTGAAAGAATATTAGACTCACCAGTTGAGGTGTATTGGACGCTTGGCATGATTTGTTTACTTTTGAACTTCGGTAAAAATCAAACATTTCTGCTACTTTGAGCTCAATTTCAAGGTACTTTTCATTGCAAAACCAGTCAAAATCATCTCAATTCCTGTAAAATGTCTTCCATTCTATAAAATGAGACCAAGAAAACTAGAATACAACAATAAATACCATACGAAAATACAGTGAAAAGTCGTTGTTTTAATCCAAAAACACGTTCGAAGTTTTTTTTTTCTCATTACGCACTGTGTGCTGCAGGATTTTTTTATACTGTGCACACTGACCACATAGACCCATTCTTACATATGTAGGCCTACCAGCTTTCTCTCACTAGATTTGAGGGCGCTAGAATTTAGGCGTACTAGTACGTCAAAAACCCTGGGTCGTAAGACGTACTAGTACAGTGGACCCCCGCATAACGATATTAATCCGTTCATGAGAGCTCATTGTTATGCGAAATTATCGTTATGCGAATGAATTTTCCCCATAAGAAATAATGGAAATCAAATTAATCCGTGCAAGACACCCAAAAGTATGAAAAAAAAATTTTTACCACATGAAATATACATTTTCCTACACACAAAGAGAAGGATACATGCACAATATATATTGTACATGTACTACTATTCTAAATGAAGAATAAATGACACTTACCTTTATTGAAGATGCAGCAATGACTGATGAGACACTGTGTCCTGGGAGTGCCTTTTCCTCCTGAGTACTGTAGGTCCTGTTTGGCATTTTCTTCCAGAACAGGCCTTATAACACTGTGTATGCCACTACGATTCTTAAATCTCTCAAACCAACCTTTGCTGGCTTTAAATTCACCAATATGAGCACTAGTTCCAGGCGTTTTTCCCTGTTCACCTGGGTGTTAGTCGACTGGTGTGGGTTGCATCCTGGGAGACAAGATTAAGGACCCCAATGGAAATACGTAAGACAGTCTTCGATGACACCGACTTTTTTGGGTTATCCTGGGTGGCTAACCCTCTGGGGTTGTTTCTTGGTATTCTCAATAAGCCACACCAACAACAGTGCTACAGCAGCAGCAGCAGCTGACAGTGCAGCAGCAGCAGACAGTGCTACAGCAGCAGCAGCAGCTGACAGTGCAGCAGCAGCAGCAGCTGACAGTGCAGCATCAGCAGCAGCAGCAGACGATGCTACAGCAGCAGCAGACGATGCTACAGCAGCAGCAGACGGTACTACAGCAGCAGCAGCAGCAGCAGATGGTACTACAGCAGCAGCAGCAGCTGACGGTGGTACAGCAGCAGCAGCAGCTGAAGGTGCTACAGCAGCAGCAGCAGCTGACAGTGCTACAGCAGCAGCAGCAGCAGCTGACAGTGCAGCAGCAGCTGATGGTGGTACAGCAGCAGCAGCAGCTGATGGTGCTACAGCAGCAGCAGCAGCTGACAGTGCTACAGCAGCAGCAGCATCAGCAGTTGACCATGGTACCACAGTACAGTGGACCCCCGCATAGCGATTTTAATCCGTGCAAGAGGGCTCATTGTTATGCGAAATGATCGGTATGCGAATGAATTTTCCCCATAAGAAATAATGAAAATCAAATTGATCCGTGCAATACACCCAAAAGTATGAAAAAAAAAATTTTACCACATGAAATATACATTTTCCTACACACAAAGAGAAGGATACATGCACAATAGTAGAGTAGTACATGCACAATATATATTGTGCATGTACTACTCTACTAAATGAAGAATAAATGACACTTACCTTTATTGAAGATGCAGCAATGACTGATGAGACACTGTGTCCTGGGAGTGCCTTTTCCTCCTGAGTACTGTAGGTCCTGTTTGGCATTTTCTTCCAGAACAGGCCTTATCACACTGTGTATGCCACTATGATTCTTAAATCTCTCAAACCAACCTTTGCTGGCTTTAAATTCACCAATATAAGCACTAGTTCCAGGCATTTTTTCCCTGTTCACCTGGGTGTTAGTCGACTGGTGTGGGTTGCATCCTGGGAGACAAGATTAAGGACCCCAATGGAAATAAGTTAGACAGTCTTCGATGACACTGACTTTTTTGGGTTATCCTGGGTGGCAAATCCTCTGGGGTTAATTGTTTCTTGGTATTCTCAATAAGCCACACCAACAATGGTGCTACAGCAGCAGCAGCAGCAGCTGACAGTGCTACAGCAGCAGCAGACGATGCTACAGCAGCAGCAACGATGCTACAGCAGCAGCAGCAGCTGACAGTGCTACAGCAGCAGCAGCAGACGATGCTACAGCAGCAGCAGACGATGCTACAGCAGCAGCAGCAGCAGCTGACAGTGCTACAGCAGCAGCAGACGATGCTACAGCAGCAGCAGACGATGCTACAGCAGCAGCAGACGATGCTACAGCAGCAGCAGCAGCTGACAGTGCTACAGCAGCAGCAGACGATGCTACAGCAGCAGCAGACGATGCTACAGCAGCAGCAGACGGTGGTACAGCAGCAGCAGCAGCTGACGGTGCTACAGCAGCAGCAGCAGCAGCAGCTGACAGTGCAGCAGCAGCTGATGGTGGTACAGCAGCTGTACCACCAATAGTAGCGATGGTTGATTGGGGTTTATTATACAACCTGGCCAGCTCGGAGACACGCACTCCACTTTCATACTTATCAATGATCTTTTTCTTTATCTCTATAGTAATTCTCGCCCTTATTGCTGTTGGGTTGGCGCTAGAAGCTTTCTTGGGGCCCATGGTCACTTATTTTGCAGATAAAATCACCAAAAACACTGTAATAATACGAAATGTTCCGATTGTATGCTTGGATGTTACCGCGGAGGCTGGCTGGTAAACAATGCCACCAGCGGAACATGTGAGCGTGGCTCAGGCCGCACATTGGACGTGTCTCGGACGAACAGCGGTGAGCGGGTTTTTGAGTGGTATGCGAGGCAAAATTTTTGCGATAAAAGCGAGCGGTATGCGGATTAAACGTTATGTGATGCCAACGGTATGCGGGGGTCCACTGTATTTCGATAATATTTCTCACCCTTTTTACCACAGGGTTGGCACTAGAAGCTTTCTTGGGGCCCATGGTCACTTATTTTGCAGATAAAATCACCAAAAACACTGTAATAATACGAAATGTTCCGATTGTATGCTTGGATGTTACCGCGGAGGCTGGCTGGTAAACAATGCCACCAGCGGAACATGTGAGCGTGGCTCAGGCCGCACATTGGACGTGTCTCGGACGAACAGTGGTGAGCGGGTTTTTGAGTGGTATGCGAGGCAAAATTTTTGCGATAAAAGCGAGCGGTATGCGGATTAAACGTTATGTGATGCCAACGGTATGCGGGGGTCCACTGTATTTCGATAATATTTCTCGCCCTTTTTACCACAGGGTTGGCACTAGAAGCTTTCTTGGGGCCCATGGTCACTTATTTTGCAGATAAAATCACCAAAAACACTGTAATAATACAAAATGTTACGATTGTATGCTTGGATGTTACCGCGGAGGCTGGCTTGTAAACAATGCCACCGGCGGAACATGTGAGGCTGGCTCAGGCCGCACATTAGACGCGTCTCGGACGAATAGTGTTGAGCGGGTTTTTTAGCGGTATGCGAGGCAAAATCTTAGTGATAAAATGTATCGGTATGCGGATTTAACGTTATGTGATGCCAAAGGTATGCGGGGGTCCACTATATGTCCGAAACCCCCAAAGTGTTAAACTGGGTTGGTGATGAGATGAAATTTGTCACACCACCTCCTTCCCAAACAGGGGCAGGAATGACAGAATTTTGAAGGAGTGACTTACCAAGATGCATGCGCTTCCTTCCCTTGTGATGGGGTACCAGCACTGGCCGAACCTCTGTGAGGCTCGGGTCAATCAGTGTCTCCAGGCGATATGCCACAGGGTCAAATGGATGGAAGATATTGAAGACTCTCTTGCATGTGGGTAGTTGGAAATCAGGTCCTATGGTGTCTATACCTCGAACAGTAATGAACATTGCTGTGGAAATATTGCAATAATCTAATATTAATTAAAATTACAAATGTGTGTTTAACATATTTGCCATTTCCCATCAGGGGTGAATTACCAAATTATTGAAACACATTCACCATTATTCATTCAATAACTGTTTTGACAAGTGTATAAACATCACTATTCCACCAAATAAAATCATAAAAATGAACACAATCTCAACCTTGTCATTTTTCTACGGTTACAGGAAGAGCTAGATAGGCAACTGTCAGTCCACTAAGGTCATAAACTGATACCAGTCTCTATGATGACAATTAATAGCATGATTATCCAACTACATCGAGAGGCACAAAAATTATATAAGACAGATGAAGCTGGTAACCGATTTAATCACAACCCTTTAGCTTCGGATTCAGTGAAAAATGTAGCCAGGCAAAGATGTAAAAGCTCTTTCTATCACAACATTAAGAGAAGCTATGACAATCCCAGGCATATGATAAGGTGGAGAGGGAAGCAATGTGGTAAATGATGCATTTGTTTAGAGTAGGTAATCAGTTACTGAAAGCAGTAAAGGTTTTTAATGTGGGTAGTGAGACTCAGTATAGAGTATATAGAAGAGAACGGGATTATTTTCCAGTAAAAGCAGGACTTAGACAGGGATATATGATGTCACTAAGGAGGTTTAACATATTTAATGATGAAATTTAAAAGAAGTGAACACTAGGGTGCTGGAGAGAGGTGTGGGATTAAAAGAGGATAGCTGTGATACAAATTTGGGAGTTGACTTGTCAGTGAATGGGCTTATGAAGGATGAGGTTAACCATAGAACTAATGAAGGAAAAAGGTGAGTGGTGCATTGAGGTATCTGTGGAGGTATATATGGAGGCAAAGAAGGGAGTGTATGAAAGAACAGTGGTACCAACACTCTTATATGGGTGTGAAGCTTGGGTTGTAAATGCTGCAGCAAGGAGGTGGCTGGAGGCAGTGGAGATGTCCTGTCTAAGAGAAATGTGTGGTGTAAATATTATGCAGAGAATTTGGAGTGTGGAAATTAGGAGGAGGTGTGGAGTTACTAAAAGTATTAGTCAGAGGACTGAAGAGGGGTTGTTGAGGTGGTTTGGTCATTTACAGAGAATGGATCAAAGCAGAATGACATGGAGAGCATATAAATCTGTAAGGGTAGCAAGGAGGGATAGGGGTTGTCCTTGAAAAGGTTGGAGGGAAGGGGTAAAGGAGGTTTTGTGGGTGAGGGGCTTGGACTTCCAGTAAGTGTGTATGAGTGTGTTAGATAGGAGTGAATGGAGACGAATGTTTTTTTGGGGCCTGACGAGCTGTTGGTGTGCACGCAGGGTAATATTTAGTAAAGGGATTTAGGGAAACCGGTTAGCCAGACTTGAGTCCTGGAAATAGGAAGCACAATGCCTGCACTTTATAGGAGGGGTTTGGGATACTGACAGTTTGGAGTGACTTCTAAATTGTCGCATCTGAGTGCCTCTGCAAAGACAGTGATTGTGTGCGAGTGAGGTGAAAGTGTTGAATGATGATGAAAGTATTTTCTTTCTTTTTGGGTCACCTTGCCTTGGTGGGAGATGGCCGATTTGTTGAAATAAAAAAATTGTGATACAAAGTACTTTTGGGAGATTCTGAAGAAAGTTGCAAAGATTGGTGGAGGAATTTATGATACATAAAAAAAGGAAATTAAAAGTGAACTCTCAAAAGAACATGATGATGGAGGCAATAAAAAAATCTATGTGAAAGAATAAAAAGGCACAATACCGTGACTGGAACAATACACAAATAACTTGAACATAGAAAAAAGAAACTTAAGACATTTTGGTCCTACCTGGACCATTAACTAGCAACTAGACTGAAACATCTTCATAAATTTCAGTCTCCTGCATGAGAGTTATTTGTGAAATGTTCCAGTAATGGAATTGTGCCTTTCAATTCTTCACGATTTGGAGGTTACCAAAAGTATAATTCAGTGGGCTGACGAGGGGTTATAAATGTGGTTTGGGTATTTAGAGATGCTGGAGCAAATTAGGATGACTAAGAGGGTACATAAAACTGGAGTGCAAGGTACGAAGGATAGGGGTTAACCCAGGCTATGTTGGAAAGGGATTCAAGAAGATTTTGAGTGCTAGTGGCTAACATCCAACAGGTTAGATCAGAATGAGCGAACGTAAGTGAATTTTATGACAATGTTCTGTGGGAATGTGAGGAAGATAACATTTATGAAGGGATTCAGAAAAACCAGCTAGCTGGACTGAAGTCCTGGATGTGGAAAGTACAGTGCCTGCCTTCTGAAGGTTAAGGTTCAGAGGGTCATCTA